AGAGAACATGCAGTATTTCTCTTTCTGTGCCTGGCTTATTTCAGTTAATATAATTTTCTCTACGTCCATCCATGTTGCTGCGAATAGTAGTATTTAGGGTTTTTTTTTTTTTTCATAGCAGAGTAGTATTCCATTGTGTAGATATACCACATTTTCCTTATCCATTCATCTGATTATGGGCACTTAGGATGGTTCCAACTCTTGGCTATTGTAAATAGCACTGCAATAAACATGGGAATACAGGTATCCCTGCCATAGGATGATTTCCATTCCTCTGGGTATATACCCAGCAGTGGAATAGCTGGGTCATATGGTAGATCCATCTGTAGTTGTTTGAGGAAACTCCATACCATTTCCAAAAAGGCGGCACCATATTTTGGAGTCCGACCAATAGTGTAGGAAGTTTCCTTTTTCTCCGCATCCTTGGTAGCACTTGTAATTCTCAGTCTTTGGGTTATTAGCCATCCTAACTGGAGTGAGATGGTATCTCAAAGTGGTTTTGATTTTCATTTGCCAAATGCTAAGTGATGTTGAGCATTGTTTCATGTGTCCATTGGCCATTCACATATCTTCCTTTGAGAAATGCCTATTCAGTTCCTTTGCCCATTTTTTAATTGGGTTACTTGTATTTTTGCTGTTAAGAGTTCCTTGTATGTTCTGGTTCTTAACTCTTTGTCAGATGTACATTTTGCAAATATTTTCTCCCACTCTGTAGGTTGTCTTTTCTCTGTGTTAATTGTTTCTTTTGCTGCACAGAAGCTTTTTGTTTGAAATAAACCCATTTGTTTATTTTTCTTTTGTTTGCCTTTGCTTTTGGGGTCATATTCATAAAGACTGTACCCAATCCTGCTTCTGGGAGTGTTTCCCCCTATATTTTCTTTAAGGAGTTTTATTGCTTCAGAATGTACATTTAATTCTTTAATCCATTTTGAGTTGATTTTGGTATATGGTGAGAGGTACGGGTCTAGTTTCATTCTCCTACATATGAATGTCCAATTTTCCCAGCACCATTTACTGAAGAGGCAATCTCTTCCCCAGTGTGTAGTCTTAGTACCATTGTCAAAGATGAGATGGCTGTAGGTGCGTGGGTTGATTTCTGGATTCTCTATTCTGTTCCATTGGTCTGTGTATCTGTTTTATGCCAGTACCATACTGTTGTGGTTAATATAGCCTTGTAGTATAGTTTAAAGTCAGGTAGTGTTATGCCTCCAGCTTTTTTCTTTTTTTTTTTTTTTTGCTCTAGATTGCATTGGCCATTTGTGGTCTTTTGTTCTTCCATGTGAATGCTAGGATTGTTTTTTCCAATTCTGAAAAAAATGCCATTGTAATTTTGGTGGGGATTGCATTGAATCTGTAGATTATTTTGGGTACTATGGACATTTTCACAATGTTAATTCTTCCAATCCAGGAGCATGGGATATCTTTCCATCTTCTTGTGTCCTCTTTAATTTCTCTCAACAGTGATTAATAGTTCTTGTCATAGAGATTTTTCACACCCTTGGTTAAATTTATTCCTAGGTATTTTATTTGTTTGGTGACTATTGTAAATGGGCTAGCTTTCTTGATTTCTCTTTCTGCTACTTCATTGTTGCAGTATAGAAATGCTACACATTTTTTCATGTTAATTTTGTATACTGCAACTTTGTTGAAATCATTTCTCAACTCTAAGAACTTTCTTGTAGAGTCTTCAGGCTGTTCTATATATAGGATCATATCATCTGCAAACAAGGACAGTTTGACTTCATCTTTTCCAATCTGGATGCCCTTTATTTCTTTCTCTTCCCTGATTACTCTGACTAGTACTTCCAACACTATGTTGAATAGGAGTGATGAGAGTGGGCATCCTTGTCTTATTCCTGTTCTTAAGGGAAAAGCTTTCACCTTTTCCCCATTCAGGATGATATTGGCAGTAGGTTTGTCACATATGGCTTTTATTGTGTTGAGATACTTTCCTTCTGTACCCTATTTATAGAGAGTCTTTATCATGAATGAATGTTTAATTTTGTCAAATGCTTCTTCAGTATCTATAGAGATGATCATTTGATTTTTGTCTTTGATTTTATTGATGTGGTATGTCACATTTATTGGTTTGCATATGTTGAACCAACCTTGCATCCATGGGATGAATTCCACTTGATCATAATGTATAATTTTTTCTATGTGTTGTTGTATTCCATTAGCTAGTATTTTATTGAGGATTTTGGCATCTGCATTTATCAAAGATATTGGCCTGTAGTGTTTCTATTGTTGTTGTTTCTTTGTCTGGTTTTGGTATCAGGGTGATGTTTGCCTCATAGACAGAGTTTGGGAGAATGGCCTCTGTTTCAATTTTTTGGAATAGTTTGCAGAGAATTGGTATTAATTCTCCTTTAATGGTTTGGTAGAATTCTGCAGTGAAGTCATCTGGTCCTGGGCTTTTCTTTGTTTGGAGACTGATGATCACAGCTTGAATCTCTTTGATTGTTACTGGTCTGTTCAGATTTTCTATGTCTTCTGGGTTCAGTCTTGGTTGTTTGTGTGTGTCCAATAACTAATCCATTTCCTCCAGGTTTTCAAATTTATTGGTGTATAGTTTTTTACAGTAGTCTCTAATGATTTATTATATTTCTGAAGTATCTGTTGTAATATCACCTTTTCCATTCCTAACTTTTTTTATTTGTGTCTTTTCTCTTCATTTTTTAGTTAGCCTTGCTAATGGTTTGTCAATTTTATTTATCTTTTCAGAAAACCAACTTTTTGTTTCATTCATCAGTTGTATCATTTTTTAGGTTCTATTTCATTTAGTTCTGCTCTGATATCATTATTTCTTTCCATCTACTAACTTTGAGTTTGGGTTGTTCTTTTTTTTCTAAGTCTTTAACACAAAGCGTGAGGATGTTTACTTGCATTATTTCCATTCTCCTGAAGTAAGCATGTAATGTGATAAATTTCCCCCTTAGTACTGCTTTTGCAGTATCCAACAAGTTTTGGTATGATGTGTCATTATTTTCAACACATTTTTTGATTTCCTATTTAATTTCTTCTTGGACCCATATATCACTAAGTAGAATGTTGTTTAATTTCCATTTATTTGTATAGTTTCCAGACTTTGTTTGTTATTTATTTCCAGTTTTAGTCCATTGTGGTCTGAAAAAATACATGGAATAATTCCAATGTTTTTTTAATTTGTTGAGACTTGATTTCTGACCTAACGTGGTCTGTCCTGGAGAATGCTCCATGTACTGATGAAAAGAATGAATATTCTTAGGTTTTTGGATGAAATGTTTTATAGATAATTTGCTAGGTGCAATTGGTCTTAAGTATTGTTTAGGTTTTGTGATTTTCTGTTGATTTTTTGCCTAGATGATCTGTCCAAATGCTCAGAGTGGTGTGTTCAGGCCCCCTACTATTATGGTATTAGTGTCTATCTCTTTCTTTAGGTCTGATAGTGTTTGCTTTAGAAATGTGGGTGCATATATATTTATGATTGTTATTTCTTCTTGTTGTATAGATCCTTTTATCATTATATAGTGGACTTTTTTTATCTCTTTTCATGGATTTTGGTTTAAGGTCTATTTTATCTTTTATAAGAATAGCTACTCCAGCTCTTTTTTTGTTTCTATTTGCTTGGTTATCTTATTCTTTCCTTTCACTCTTAGTCTATGTGTGTCTTTACAGGTGAGTTGATCCTTGAAGGCAGCATATTGTTGGGCCCATCTTTTAATCCAGTCAGTCGGTCTGTGTCTTTTGAGTGGGGAGTTCAATCTTTTTACATTAAGGGTTATTATTGAAAGGTGTTGATTTACTCCTGGCATTTTATCGATTTTGTTTGGATGTTTTAAATATCTTTTGTTCCTTACTTTCTGATTTGCTGTTTGTCTTCTGTGTTGTTGGTTTCTTGGGATGGTTGATAAACTTCTTTTTCTCTTTGTTGTTAGCATTTTTATTCTACTGGTGGGTTTTGTTCTTTCTTGAGTATTCATGGTAGTGATGGTTGTTTTTCAGATACCAGACCCAGTACTCCCTTGAGAATTTCTTGTAAGGCTGGTTGTGTGTGCAGCAGTGAACTCCCACAGTATTTGTTTGTTTGAGAAAGGTATTATTTGACCTTCATTTCAGAAGGAGAGCCTTGCTGGGTAAAGTATTCTTGGGTGGCAGTTTTTGTCTTTTAGTATTTTGAATATATCATCCCATTCTCTTTGAGATTTTTTAGTTTGACTATGACATGTCTTGGAGAGGACCTTTGTGGATTGAATATGTTTGGGGATCTTTGAGCCTCCTGATTATGAAGATCTGTATCTCTCCTATACCTGGGATTCACTGAGTATATTTTCAATGTCATTTCCTTTTTCTTCCCCTTCTGGAATATCCATGACTTGCATATTTGAGTGCTTAATGTTGACTGTTATCTCTCTTAGATTTTCTTCAATTTTTAAAATTCTTTTTTCTTTCTTTCTTTCTTTCTTTTTTTTTTTTTTTTTTCCTCCGCCTGTGTTATTTTGAACAGGCCATCATCAAGGTCAGAAATTCTCTCTTCTGTTTATTCTAGCCTGCTAGTTAAGCTCTCTGTTGTGTTTTGTTTTTCATTGAATGAATCCTTCAGCTCCACAAGCTCTGCTATGTTCTTTTTCAGGGCATTGATTTCTTTGTACATTTCCTCTTTCAGCTCCTATGTACTTTTTCTCATTTCGTTGTGCTGTCTAACTGAGTCTTCTTGTATCTCATTTAGTTTCCTTAGAATTGTTGCTTGAAATTCCTTGTCAGTCATGTCAAGGACTTGTTATGTTCCTTTTGCAGTGTCATAATTTCTTAGTTTTTCATATTTCCAGTATCTCTCCACTGGTGTTTATTCTTTGTGGAGAAGGCTTTCATGATTCACTTGTTCCACCCTGGTATCTGTAGCAGTGGCAGGGAGTTTTGCTGTCACCCAGCTGCCTGTTGCTGCCTCAGGGACAGGGTGTTGTCACTTCAGGCCTCCTTGGGGCAGGGACTCACCTAGCCTGGATCCTGAAGGGGCTGACATGTTGGAGCTGCTGCCTCGGGGCCTGAGGGTCAACACTCCTAGCTCATTAATTAATGAGTTGACCAGAAGGGTGTTACAACTGGTCCAAGGTAAAATATAAAGAGCAGACATATTTATATAGGATATTAGGAATGCCGAAATGAATGAAATGAAATGCAAAACTGGCTTCTTCCACAAAGGCAGAGCAAACTCAGTTTAGCCTCTACAAGACAGAATGTGAGTTTCTAGGGACAGGGATTATTTACTTTACTATCAGTTTTCTACCAGGTAATTTCTAACTCTACAGAACTGTAAAATAGCCTAGTCAAAGCAATGAAAGGTGAGATATCCCTGATGAATAAGCTAGTCAAACAGAACTGTAAAATAGCCTAGTCAAAGCAATGAAAGGTGAGATAACCCTGATGAATAAGCTAGTCATGATACCACATTTCAGTTTTTCCCAGTTTTTACACAGGAGAAAGGTAGGCTATGAAGGAAAGTGAGCTTGTATTACTAATCTCCTCCCTGAATATGAACAGCCGGAACTTGCGGAAAATTGTTTCTATTAATAGCTATGGCTTCTCTTTGTTTCTTTTCCTGCCTTTGTAAATGATACTAGTTTTGTTGACAAGTTTTGAAGGAATATATTTTTTCCTTGAACAAGCAAGTTGGGAAGGACTCAGTTCACAGCTGAAGTAGAAGTCTTGGCAAGGTTGTTTGGGAACATTGTTGTCCTGAGAAAGACGGGAACACTGTTGTCCTGAGAAAGATTCCCAGTTTTGCTCTTCAGAAAAGGTATATAGTTATGAGTACTTAAACATTACAAATTCTGAACCTCTGTAGGGGAATGGGTAAGCTGTATAAACATTTAGCCATTCTAAATAGCTGTATATGTACAATGCTCACCAGAGTATGCATCATTAAATATTAACCCATTTGTAAAATAAATTATGGGTTTTATCAATCCGTGTACTTATTTCAATTAAAATGCTGCTCTTTCTCTAGAGGCCAACCCCATAATACAATTAAAACAAACTAAATCCCACAGGGAAGATAAGACTTCCCCCCTTGTAGAACATTCTATATAGCCATGCTACTCAAAGTGTGGTCCCTAGAAGGGTGCTCATTAGAAGTGCAGTATCTCAGGCCCCACCCCAGATCTACCATATTAGAATCTGTGTTCTACCAATACTCAGGTGATTCCTGAACATTTTATAGTTTGAGATGTTCTTCTTTATAGTATTAAGCCCTGAAAGTCACCTCTAATGTCTTTGATATTTTCACAGGAATTGCCTATCTGTTTGCCAAAGCTAATCTGGTTTCCAAGAAACCACAATACCTGGACACATGCATCCAGTGTGGGGAACTCATGTGGCAGAAGGGCCTGCTGAAGAAGGGGCCAGGGATTTGCCACGGCATAGTTGGCAGTGCCTATGTCTTCTTGCTGCTGTACCGGCTCATGGGAAACTCTAAATACATCTACCGAACCCAAAGGTCAGCTGTCCTTCATATTTGTTTTCCAAACTTTTAATCTAATTAATGTTCTGAATTGATATAGTCATATGGTCTTTAAAAGTGCAAAAAAGAACACATCAACTGTGCCCTTTAGCCATGTAATTGACTTCACTGGAGACAATCAGCATTACCAGTTTCTTGGTTATCTTCCTAGAAATACTCTGCACATACGAGGGTACTTCAAAAACTTTATTGAAAAATGGAATAAAAAGATAACACAAATCTTTCCATGAATTTTTTTTTTTAATGTCTTTTTCGTGACCAGCCGAACTGCACTCAGCCAGTGAGCGTACCGGCCATCCCTATGTAGGATCCGAACCCACGGCAGGAGCGCTGCTGCGCTCCCAATGCCACACTCTCCCGACTGCGCCACGGGGTCGGCCCTCCATGAAATTTTTGAAGTACCCTCACATATGTATATATGTATGTGTGTATATGTATATTTTCATAGGCTCTTACTATTTTGTATGTATAACAGTACTATGCATACTGTTTTCAGCATATAATTTTTAAATTATTTTTTAATTGGCACATATTATTTGTGCATATTTATGGGGTACAGAGTGATATTTTGATACATGTACATAATGTGTGATGATCAAATCACGGTAATTAGCATCACCTCGAACATTTATCATTTCTTTGTGCTGAGATCATTCAGAATCCTCTCTTCTAGTTATTTGAAAATATACAATAAATTGAGTTATTTGAAAATATACTATAAATTATTTGTAATGATGGTCACCTAACCATACTATAGAATACTAGAACTTATTCTTCCTATGTAGCTGTAAGTTTGTATCCAGTAATCAACCTCTCCACTACCCCACTACCCCACACCTCCTCTACCCACCACTTTTCCCGACCTCTAGTAACCACACTTCTTCTTTCTAATCTATGAGCTCAATTTTTTAGTTTCACATGAGTGAAAACATGCAGTATTTGTCATTCTGTGCCTGACTTATTTCACTTAACATAATGTCTTGGAGGCTCATCCATGTTGCCACGAATGACAGGATTTCATTCCTTTTTTATGGCCGAGTATTATTCCACTGTGTATATATACTACAGTTTTAAAAAATCCATTCATCTATTGATGGACATTTAGGTTAATTCTATATCGTGGCTATTGTGAATAGTGATTGCAGCTTACAATTTTAAATGAACAATTTTTAAGGGACATTCTTCACTTCAATTTGTATAGATCTATGTCATTGTTCTAAATGTCTGTACATTTATTCACTATGGAAGTACTGTAATTAATTTAACCAATCTTTAAATAATGGAGACTTGATATGTGTGCAGTCTTTACTAATACAAACAGAATTCCTCCAAATATCCAATATGTACATTTCTGATCGCTTGCATAAATGTTTTTGTCAGAGAAATTTTAGAACTGAAATTATTAGGTCCACAGGTATTTCTTGGTCTATAACTAGCCTGTCTTTATCCTTTGCCTATTTTTTTCTGATTGTGATGTTTATATTAAGAATTGCAACTCTTTATCAATATATGCTATAAATAATTTCCTACTCTGCCATTTTTCTTTCAACTTTGTTCATAGCCTTTTGAAGTTTTGAGTAATTTCTTGTCGAAGTTGTCAAACTTTCCTTTAAGATTTCTAGGTTTTGTGTTAATGCTAAAAAGACCTTTCCCACTCCAACATTACAAAAAGATCAATTTACATTGATATTAGTACCTTAATGATTTTATTTTAACATTTAAATTTTTGATTCATCTAAAATGTACTTTTTAAAATGGTGTCTCATGGGTATCTCTCTTTCTTTACTGAAAAACGAAAAAAATGTAATAGCATCTATTGACTACCCCCATGATTTGAAATTCCAATTTTATTGTAAACTGGATTTATATAAATATATGAGTTTGTTTCTGGACTTTCTTCTGTTCCATTTATCTAGTTATATATTTCATTATTCATTTATTTCTAATTTTTCTTAGTTATTCTCTCTCAATTATTCTTCCAGTTTTATGTTAGAAGCAATTTTTCAAATTTTTAAAATATCCTATGGAAATTTGATTGGAATATCATTGAATTTACAGGTTACTGAGAATTATAATCTTTATGAGGTTTTCTATTCAGGAACATGGTATACCTTTAAGGTTTTAAAAATGTCATTTAGTAAAGTTTCGATCTTATGAAGAAGGTCTTGTATGTTTCTTATTAATTTTAACCCTAGTTATTCATGTTTTCAGGTTTATCGTGAGTGGAATTTTTTCTTGCATTATATTTCCAGGTTGTTTATCACTGGTATTTATGAAGGCTCTTTGAAACATGCATATTACTGCAGTTTATTAATTCTAATATGTACTTTTTCATATAAATCTTATATCTAAGTTTTCATAAATATCATAATAATATGTACAGCCACCTTAATGAACTCCATTACTGTTTCTATTAGTTTTTCATTAGATTCCATTGGATTTTCTAAATAAACACACATGGTCTGCAAATAATTATAATTCTGTTACTTCCTTCCTCATTTGTATACTTTTTTTGTTGTTTCCTATTACATGAGTCCTCTATGCATGCATCCCCAAATTGTTCAGTAGTAAGAGGAATAGTAAACATTCTTGGCTTTATGATTATTTTATTAAGAATGCTTTTATGTTTTGCCATCATCTTTTTTATTAGCTTCTTATAATGTATATTATGTCAGATTGTGACAGTGCTCTGTTCAAGGTAATTCAACGGCTTCCCATATGACTCAAAGTAAATGCCAAAGTCTCTTCTATGAATGAATGTCCTACAAGACCTAGCTTCCTATTATCTCTCTGATCTCATCCCCTACTCTTCTTCCTCCTGGTTCACTCTACCACAATGGGCTTCCTTGTAATTCTACCAGAATGCCAGGTAACTTCCACCTTAAGGCCTTTGAAGTTTTGGTTCTTTCACCTATAATGCTCACTTTCTACATATATCTCTTATCTCCCCCATTTCATTCACACCTTTACTCAAAAGTCATTTTCTCAGAAAGGCCTTGCCAAGCCAACTTATCTAATATTCAATATTAAAAAGAAACCATAAAATATCTTTTATGATATTCGCACGTACGCACTGACGGAGAAATGCTAACATATGTAAGTCCTCTATTTGGAGCTCTATTGTTTAGGAATCCTGTTAATCTATTTGATTCATGTCTCCATAATCTGTTTAGGTGGAAGCCTGACCTGTTGTTGCCCAAATGTAGCAACAGAAAGTCATTTTGGATTTTATCCAGGCCAATGGGATTTTACCTTTGAGATAAATTTCATCAGAGGTTCTCATGCCCTAGAAAGTCTATTAGAAAAGATCGGAACAACCCCTCTATTTTCTGACAGGCCATTCCTAGCTTACAGAGTCTTGGTTATAAGATTCTGGAGTCCAGGGCCCTTTGGACAATTTAAATTTCACACTAAGAGGCAGAAAACTAAAAATGTGCAGATAATATCTGAGTATTATTTGGACATTGCATTTAATTGCTTAGAGTACTAAAATTTCCACTTCCTTATTATTTAAAGTTAAAAAATGATGTGGCCCAAATTGGGTAGGCTTCTTTAATTTTGGCAGTTCCTGAAACAGTAATGTCAAACAGTATGTACCTCCATGGAATAAAAGTCACTACCTATTATTCTTTTAACAGACAGTTGGAATTTATGGCTGCAGAAAAATATTTGATTCCCTTTTCATTTTCTTCTATGATTATTCAGTTATTCATGTTTTCTACCTCTTTTATTTTGGTAGTGAATATATTTCTTTAAAACTATGTAGTTTGTATGGATTTTCCAGTTCTTGACATAGAGCTCTAATAGTATAGTTCTGTGATATTTTTAATTTCCCATATCTGTGGTCGCATGCCTTTCTCATTCCTAATGCTTTTCCTTCTTGTTTAGATACACTAGCATTTTTTCTATCTGTTCATCCTTTCAAGGAACTGGCTTTTGGTATTGTTTATTAAAGATTTTTGGTTTTCTCTTTTGATACCTAATTTCTTTTCTGCCTTTATTTTGGTTTTCCACTGTTCCTTTCCTTTATTTTGTTATTTTCTAGAGTTAAAGAAATGCTTAATTACAAAACCTTTTATCTTTCTATTAAAAATAATAATAACTCAGAGATCTATGAATTTTCCTCAGCATTCAGTTTTGGTCAAAATCAAGAGGGTTTGATCTGTATTATTCTCACTGTATTTCATTCTTTTTAGTTCTTTACCATTTTGACTTTCATTTTGATGGAGAATTTTTTTAGAAAAGTACATTTGTTAGTTTGATTTTTGCACCATTGGGCAGATTTTTGAAACAGTCATTTTCTCTTTAATATCAACAACATTTTTCAGAAATGATAACACACAGTGAAGGTCAGAATACAAGGAAACTGCTATACTCGTACATTATTGGTACTATTGGAAACTGCTGTGTATTTGTTGGGAAAATGGAACAATTTGGTCAGGCTCCCTGTGCCTTGGAGCCGGTTCAGGGTGGTGCAGTAAGCATTGCGTTTGTGGGTGGTGTAAGTGCGCCTGCAAGGCAGCACTGCTTTGGCTGGTGTTTGACTGCCTCGGGCACCTGTCCTGCCTGGCCATGTTTTTCCAGACCTGCAGCTTCCAAGGACTGTGTGGCTGGTTACCTAGCTGAGAGACCTGGGTGTGTGGGGTCTGGTGACCCAGCCTGGTGTGTGAAGGGTTTGTGAACCAGTCTGTGAATGGGCTTGAGGGGTCTGGGAGCTCCAGACCCAGCCCTAGCTCTACCACCAGCCCAGTCAGTGCAGGATTGCCGGCAGATAAAAGAGCCGTGACAACTAGTGTGGTCACCTAGCTTAATGATTGGCGTCACAAATGGGATTAAGAGCTAGACAGTTGGTGCTGTGAGCAGGATATGCGACATCAGCCTTAGCCTTAGCCTGAGAGTAGCCAGACAGTATTTTTTAGAAATTATTTAGGACAGCACAAAAAAATATTTATCATATTTTTTAAGTGAAATAAAAT